CATTAAAGACCGTGCTAAGTGCTAACATTCTCCCCTTATAAGGATACAGATACCAAAAGGGTGAAGTAAAATGTTGACGTAACAGTTTCAGTGAGGTAAAATGTCCATTATATTTATAAACCCTGATGGGTTGTTGTAAGATTATATAAGTAATATTGTGGTTTTAAACAAAAGCGAGAAAAAAAGGAATGCATTCCTCCCTTCCAAGGCCCCAGACTTCTCATGCTAACCCTTCCCCCCAAATCCCATCGTGACTTTGATTAACAGATTGTAGGAGGAACAGTTTTCCAAACAGTCTTGAAGAGAGAGATGTAATCCGTGGGAATGGCCTTGAGCAGTGGCGGTGCCGTAACATCTGTTCAGCCCCGCTCATTATGAGTCAAAGTCGTGATGTTTGCCTTAATTCACTTTCTACTTGTCTACAAGACTGGACCAGTGGCTCGGGAGTTACTTCCAACAAACACTCTGGAAGCAGGCCAAAACTAAATAATGTGCCACTGAGACGCTCATCTGTTTAAATGGTAGTGGTGGTCTGTTCTCCTTCCAAATGTTGTTATCCTAGCATCACGCTGGTGATGCAGCCTCCTCAAGTGCTGAGCCTAGCTTTGCAGTTTTAGCAGTGAGCCAGTGCTTCAGTGGGCTGGAACTGATGGGTGATGTGTGCAACTTTTGCAGCTCAAATCCATCTGTGAGACATCCTTCATTATAGACACATTCAGTGCGGAGATAGATGAGGGGAAAGAAATGGTATCACATGCTTGTTTTGTTCAATCCAAAATGCTGTCAGTTTACTGTCATTTAAATATTTAAATATGCATTGCAGGCTTGCTGAATCACATTTATATGGAAGTGCTGATGTGTCTATTTCAATTGGTCAAACTCTTCTCCTGATCTATTAGAATTGTGGTGGGGCATTAGTATGAGGATATTATTAAGCCTATGAATGAACTCTATAATGTACTCTAAAACAACAACAATATGACTGACGTTGAAAAAAAAAAGATTAATTATTCTCATAGTGTTAGAGAGCCATCTTGTGGTTACAGTTGGTAGCTTGTCATTCGTAAACAAAATACAGCTGATTTAAATGAGCTTGTAAACACATCAATGAGGATTCATTCATAACGAATAAACGAGTATATATTTCCGCGTGTGTGTGTGTGTGTGTGTGTGTGTGTGTGTGTGTGTGTACATACATATACATACATATATTGGCATTGACATTTTCACAACAATCCCTAGTAAGGCTTTTTTTAAAGTTCATACTTGTAGGTTTTTAAACACCAAAAAGCAGTGGGAGTGAAGAGCATGCTTGAGATTAAACGAGACATGATGTGGTTTGAAAAAAATCAAGGTAAATATCACTTTTGAATTACATATTTTATTGTGCATCATTTCCAAACATCTCTAAATTAAGCAAATAATGTGAAGACATTTCATTTGAATTTAGAATACTTTTAATGCCAGCAATGAAATTAACCTTAGCAAGACAAAACAGTCAGCCACTGCATTCCAAAAATGTTTAAATGTAATTTCCACCACATGATGCTATTAAAAAACATTATTTGAGATGACACTGTGGCAAAAATGTTCCTGATCTGATGTTCTGTGTACAATGACAAACTTTATACATGTATCTCCACTGTTGTATATTGTCAGTTGAAAATAAAAAAAAAATACTAGTGAGACTGGCGGTGCGTTCCAAACGGGATATATCGCCCTCTGAAGGGCACTTCGGAGTGAAAACACTCATGGGTGCGATCTGACATTATCACAAAAACACATAGAAAGTCCATGCATACATTATGTAATTTAGTTTATTAAAACGCATTAATTCAAGGCATTCTAAATTGTAGGCGGCAAAAATGCCCTTGTATGTCTTTTGTATTATATAATTTAATATATTTAATTTACATCACGAAGAGTGCCGTTTTTCCTCCAGATGTCATGATAACAAATGTAATACTGGTTTTATACAAGTTTAATAAAGTTAGCATCAAGTGAGTTACATTTTAGATACAATATTACCTGTTGTTGCTGTTTTTTGCCAATGAAAATAGTTCCAAACAAAGATCACAACGCTGTTTTGCGTCTGAGCAACACACAGGACTTTTTGCTTTTTGAACGAATCGGTTGAATGAATGAATCGGTGACTCACTCATAACCACACGGTGCGTTCCAAACGGGATATATCGCCCTCTGAAGGGAACTTCGGAGTAAAAACAATCATGGCCGCCATATTGAAGGGTCGTTCCAAACCTTAGTGCTCAAAACTGGCCACTTCAAAGGGCCCTTCGGAATGAAGGATTTCGAAGGGTACAACTGATGGACACTTCGGGCTCCCATGATCCTTTGCGCAGATTCTTTGCATGATGACGGCGCCTCCCTGTGGGCACGTGATGATGACACAGAAGGCCACTTCAAGAAACAGTTGTCTGGTCCCCTACACCCTTCAACCCTTCGAAGCTGTCACTCTGGAGGGTAAACCCTTTGAAGGGATTAGGGCATAGGGATGAGCCCTTCCGAATGGAACGCAGGGTGGGTGTGAAAGTGAGTTTTAAGTCTACTGGGCCAAGAGTGTCCATAGTTAAAGAAACACATGTATAAACTTTTATTTCCTTTGTGTTTTTAAACCCAATGAGCAAACAAATTCAACATTTTGTTCTTGACAGCGCACAAGTTTTCACATTCCAACCTGAAAACACACAACACTCGGAAGTACGGCCTCCCACCTCCGGAAATGGAAGCGTGTGCACACGTCAAATGGCCCTGTCCCAAATGGAACACTTCCGGTGCATTCCAAACGGGATATATCGCCCTCTGAAGGGCACTTCGGAGTGAAAACAATCATGGCCGCCATATTAAAGGGTCTTTCCAAACCGAAGTGCTCAAAACTGGCCACTTCAAAGGGCCCTTCGGAATGAAGGATTTCGAAGGGTACAACTGATGGACACTTCGGGCTCCCATGATCCTTTGCATGATGACGGCTCCTCCGTGTGGGCACGCGATGATGATGCAGAAGGGCACTTCAAGAAACAGTTGTTTGGTCCCCTACACCCTTCAACCCATCGAAGCTCTCACTCCGGAGGGTAAACCCTTTGAAGAGATTAGGGCGTAGGGATGAGCCCTTCCGAATGGAACGCAGGGTTCATGTGCACTTGCAGTCTTACAGACTTACAATGGCCGCCGCGTGCGCGTGTCCGTTAAGTCCACGAGACCATAGGGTGTCCCATTCGTCATTTTAGCGTTCAGAAGGGTGCTCGCGAGTGCCCCCATTGTGGCCGTTATGCGCCCTCGATCCGCACTTCTGCTGAGCCCGCACTGGGGCGAGCTCCGCAGCAGACTTCTACCCTATAGTCAAAGCGGCATTACGTCACGAAAGTGCGGACTCAGAGGAAGACCACGAGGGTTTAGGGTGCCATTTGGACAGGGCCAATAAATATTAGGGCTATATCCAAAATCGCCCCCTATACCCTCAAATAGGGCACTATTTGAGGGGACAGCCATTTTTAGTGTTGTCCGAAACCAAAGTGGACTTTCTCGAGTGCACGCATTCAATCCCACAATGCACCACAAAAACGAATGTACACTCGATGTACACTCAAGGGCTAGAGATAACCCATAATGCACTGTGAGAGTCGCCCGTCGAATGAATTCCCGCGTCTCGCCAGAAGATGGCACCCGCAGCAGTATCATCCATTCATTTTAAAAGCGCTCGTCCACGGCGTAACACAGGTACAAATTAATTGTAAATTCACTATTAAATTGTTTAACTAGGGATTATACATAATTTCCGTGACAGAGTTCAAGATACATCTTTTAATCTTAATACTGAAGCTGCCCGTTTAAAATTTTTATTAAACAGCAAAGCAAACTATGCAAAAGCAGCAGTCTTTCCGGTGCACTCAGTGTCCGAATTCACTTGCCTTGTCCAAATACTCACACTTCCGGTCTTGGCCACTTGAGAGCGCGTACGCGCGGCAGGAAGTAAGTGCGCAAGACTGTCCCAGGTCTTAAAAACGCCAGAGCGCAGTGCCCTTAACGCACACTAAATCCACTATCTCGAATACCGCTCCGGAGCGGTATTCGAG